AGTTCTGAAGGAGTACATCCTAGAGAAGCAATATCGGCTGGATTTTGAGCTGATTGAACATGAGCCCACTGATCATTATCTAACCTTGACAAGATCTCTGATGTTCGGTTACCAATGAAGGTTGTCCAGCGACTGGGGTGGCTACTAAGCCACGATAACACCACAGTAGTCAGTCCATCCGTGTATGTTAACTTGACTGATGCGCAGTACGTTAGCGACTTCAGTAATTAATTTGGCTAGGAGAACAGTACCCATTAACTCCAGTCTAGGAATGGAGACCTGCATGGTTGGAGCTACCTTAGTTTTTGCAGCAATCAAATGAACATGAACACCACCATTTGCATCCACAGTCCGTAAGTAAACTACGGCTGCACATGCAGTGTTCGATGCGTCACAAAATCCATGAAGTTCCACATGTGAATCATTAATTTTGGCTTCAACCCATCTTGGAATGCGTAAGTTAATGATATAATTCAATTCCGCCTGGTAAGTATTCCATTCGCTTAGTAAGTCTTCTGGTAGTTCCTCGTCCCATCCTATACTGGCTAACCACAACTTTTGTATAAGAACTTTGGCTGTAATAATGCAAGGTTCTGCCCAACCCAAGGGGTCGAATAAGCGTGAGATATTCGAGACCATCCTTTTTGTAATAGGTTCCTGAAGTTTAGTTATTTGCACAAAGTGTTTGAAAGAATCAGATTCCTTGTCCCACGAAAGTCCTAACACCTTTACTATTTCATCAATTCATATATCTCTCTTTTTCTCCCGATTTTCTTTTTTATCCATTACTATTGCTGTCAATTCCTTATTGTTGGTTATCCATTTTTGCAACTCAAAACCTCCTCTACACAACAACGTCTTCATATTCTCAAATATTCCTTTTCCTTCTTCTATTGTCTGACATCCTGTCATTAAATCATCGATGTAATAATCTGTTTTTATTTTTTCAGCTACATCAGGATACTGCTGCGAGTTATTGCAGAGTCTTCACTGCAAGGTAAGGAGCCGAAGCAGTACCAAAGGTAACTTTGTCTAATACATATTCCTTGATTTCAAATCCTGGATCGTCTCTCCAAAAGAGTCTTTGGTATTCTGTATCTTGTTTGGCAACGCGTACATGGCAATACATTTTAACGACGTCTGCACTTAGACAAATGGGGTTCATACGCCACCTCATGACAATATGACGTAAGTCTTGTTGATATGTTGGTCCGACCATTAAGGTATCATTAAGTGATACTCCATTTGTTCCTTTGTAGAAAGCGTCGAACAAGACCCTCATCTTCGTTGTCGATTTATCTTCACGTATCACTGCATAATGAGGTAAATAAACAGAGTCACATCTATTATAATCATCGTCAGGTACACATTTCATGTGTCCAAGATTTAAATATTCATGAATTACTTCAGTATAATTGGACTTAAACACAGGATTTGTTTTGAATCGCTGTTCAAGCAGATAGATTCTTCTAAGATCGATGTCTCTGGAATTCCCATATTTACATTGTGGACCCTCATCTCGGAAGGGAAGTCTTACGACATACCTCCCTGTTGGGTCTCTTTGTGTTGTTTGTTCATAAAATTCCTCACAACGTAACTCTTCTTGTGACAGTATTTTTTCGTTAAATGAATCAGATTCCAATTGCCAGAAATTTTTAAGTAACTCATTGTCTTCTATGTGAGAGTGCATGTTTATTATCTTGTTATGATAAAAGTGTGTGGATGAGGTTTGATTTACACTGAGCTGCTGGTGTGTAGGACCTGAAATAATCCATCCTAAGGCTATGTTTTGAGCTGTTGATGTGCCATTAGGACCTCTGATTAAACCATCCCTCATCACCTGTCCATAGACATCAGACCCGAGCAGAATGTCTATGTTGTTTGGCTTATTAAATTTTGGATCAGCTAGAGTAATATCATTATTTGGATTGGAGCTATTTTCTTCATTGGAAGGAGGCTGGTTATAGCCCCTAGTACATGAGCTTTTACTAATAAATAAAAATTGGGATCATGGCGAGATTGAATGCGTATTTTGACCAGATATTTAAAGGTCAAAATGCTCTTATCTCCATCTAGTTCAGACACGTCCTTGTGGTATTTTTCTTAACCCTAGCAATTTCACTATAGATTCTGTCACAAATGATGCCTGTGAGCCCTGATCTAACAGAGCCCTTATCAGGCATGCATCGCCACTTCTTGTTTGAGCATTAACAAGAGCGGTTGCTAACAAAATTTGATTGGTTGCAATTTGTTTTGAGAAATGTGCTGATATGGTTGAAGCGGTTTTGGGACTTTCTAATGATGTCTTAATTTCAGACACCTTGGCATTGACTTCTAATGCAAGATCTGGTTTGGAACATCCACTACTTTGAGATTCTGAGGTAGACTTAGGGTGCAGCAAAGAGTGGTACTTATGTTTGCATATGCGACATTTATTGTTGGAACAACAAATACTGGCAGAGTGATTGCGGCCTAAACAGTTAAAACAGAGTTTATTTGTTTGAACAAAATTGTGTCGATTATCGTAATCAATTTTGCAAAATTCCTTACAGTTAGAAATTTTGTGATCACCTTTCTTACAGTATGAACAACTGGACTTTACAATAGCGTTGTAGTTGGTAAAAGCGTGCAATACCTTGGGTCTATGGGTTGAAATATTTGATTTGGTCTTTTATTTAGTATCTAAAAACTCTAGAGAGCTGAAACGAGATTCCAAATACTCACGCAATTGGCTCAGAGTGGGTAATTCGTCCGTGCTGCTAATTTTTACTTCCCAACCTTTACGAGATTCAGGATCTAATTTTGAGCAAATTACGTAAATAACTATAGCATCAGAAGTGTCCACATTTATGTTTAAAGTTTTTAAACCGTTCGACGTTTCGTTCATTACATCTAGAACATCTTTTATTGCACTACAAGATTCGGTTACAATGTTATGTAAATTAATAAAACGTCTCAGTAAACAGTTTACCAAGTACTTCTTATTATAATATATACTGTTTAAGGTTGACCAAGACTCCATATAATTAGCTGCTGCAACTGGAATATGTCGCAGGAGTTGGTCTGCTTCACCGACAAGATGAGCTTTTAGATAGTACATTTTTGAGCATTATCGAGTGATGAATTATTATTCACTAATGAAACATATAGATCTCTAAAAGTTATCCATTCCGTATATGCACCAGAAAAACTAGGAATGGAAATTTTTGGCAATTTCACATTGTTTTCATAAATGTTAGAAGTAGCTGAAGAACTAGGTTTTGGTTTTACTAAGGCTAAATATTCCTTTAATTCTGACTTGTGATTAATATATGTTTCTTCAATTACTTCGTACATGTCGTGTGTAAAATATTTATTTTCGAGTAAAGCGTCTGTGGCTTCTGCAGTTAATTTTCTATGTGTATCATTAACTGTATTCCATTCAGCTTCTAGCGTTTCTAATCTAGTTTGTAAGTATGATTCCTTAACTAATCTGTCTTTAGGAGACTTTTTAAAATTTTCATAAGCCTTTTCTATAATTGCCTTTGAACCAAGCTGATTTTTAATTAAAGATGCCATTATGTAAATTAGTTGATTCACAAAATAAAAGATTACAAATATGTAATGAATGAAATTTTTCTAAGTCTTAGATAAAAGTTAATTTTTTTACAAGTATTTGAAACTTCGTATGTTCGAGCGAATCGGGCGCAGGTTCCCCGTTCGTTCGCTTTTAGTAAAACTATTTTTCTAAGTTAAAATATTATATATAAAAAAACAAAATTTTATAAGTCTACTTATATTTAAAAATATTGTATTAATGGAAGCTAAAAATATTTTTAATGTTTTATATTCACAATAAATTTCAAAAAATTTTACAAGTATTTGACACTGAGTATATTAGGGCGAATCGGGCAAAGGTTCCCCGTTCGTTCACTTTTATCAAAACTATTCTAAGTTAATATTTTAATATGCAAAATTTTACAAATCTACTTTTATTACTATGCAAGTTAAAATTTATGCCTTCCGTCGCTACTGCTCCTCGGTTGGTGGCTGCAGACTTCGTGCTTGCTTCCGGCACCACTGCACCACACTTAACCAACTGGTAATACGACCTAGCGGAGTCGTTCACCAGTGCGCACCTTCAGAGGCGATTCACCTCTGGTTTCTAGTGCGAATTACGCGCGGACGGGTGGGGTTCACTTAGATCCGACTACGAAGGACCGTGTACAAGTTCCTCCCAGATCTCGATACTTGCACTCGCGTTTAGGTAAATAAAACACAGAAGTATAATATGAGAACAACATCTTTAATAAATCGAAGCGGATCCTATACTATATTACAATACCGATATGCTAGCGTGTTGTATTTTACTGCGAACGCCATCTAGTAACGGCGGATTAAAACATTTGAATAGATATTAAATGAGATTATAATTTTTAGTTCAACAAAAATATTTAGTACGAATTAGTTTATTTTCTAATATTTTCATATGTGACTGTTATCCATTTTATAAATTTTAATGTAACATAAATATTGTAGATTTAAAAATAATACCAAATAATACATTTTATATTATGTGTGTCATTAGTCGTGAGCGTTTGTACTGAGCGGACGTGTCTCCTGTCGTTCTAATTTATTCTGAAGTGACAACAATCGAAATAAATCTTTTATTAATCAACGTAAAGACGATAATCTTGTGCATTCATTAAGGAACTTAAGCCTGTTGTTATTTGTGTGAACAGTTTAGTAGTGTTTCTCAGTAAGTGAATCCCCACACCTCACTCCCTCGAGTAAAGGGCACGGGCTCTTAAATTTTTTGGTCCACTTGACGCTTGATATAACTGCATCACAGGCCTCATAATATTGGTTTGCGATACATAACGAACCCGCAAAAATCTCCGCCTGCGACCAAAGTTGGTCTTATTAGTTCCCAGCCCGATAATGCAAAATGCGATAACGAGATTACACAGCAACGTAATATTACCATCCAAAGATCAAAAAGAAAACAACCAGAAGAAGCAATGAAATCCGAATTAAATGATTTTAGGAAAGAGATAATGTCCTTTCTTACTGAATTCAAAACATCGCAAGAGAAGAATATTAAAAAAACACATGATGAAGTATCGTCATTAAAGGAACAACTATGTAATCTAAAACATATTTCAGATATTCTTTCTCAGGACCAAGTAACTATTAAAGATACTTTAACTTCTATACACGCAGCTCAACAGGATACGGCAAACACAATTACCGAAATGCAAACCTCCTTGGAATTCTCATCCAAGCGCATCGATACCCTACAGGAACGTGCAAATTGTTAGGAAGAAAAACTTAATATACAAAGTCGTAAAATTACCGAAATGCAAGTGATATTAGACAGGCTTTCTTTCAAAAACCAAAGACAAGAGCAGTGGGCACGTCAGTTAAATGTAGAAGTGGTGGGAGTACCAGAAATTAAAAATGAAAATCTTACAAATATAGTACAATATAACCACAGCATCCACTTATCATCAGATGGGCTGAGTACTCTTTGTCACACTCATCCTATCCAAAAACAAATTAAACGTCATTGTATTAAAAACAGGATCAGGCGTTTCTTTGTGGAAATCCATAATATTAAAGAAGTTAAAAATTAGCTGAGATAGTGCACGCATTTGAGATAGTGGTGGTGGTGAGGTGGAGGTGATAGCAGCAATAATGTTTCATACATTTCAAAATAGTAACATTCTATTTTAAGATTCAAAACTAGGCAACGACCTATTCACACTTAAATTTGTGTGGTCAGTGGATCTACTCTTTGGAACACGCTAAGAAAATTTGGCTAGTAATTTTTCAGCCGATCGGTGCTTGCGACTGGTAGGTTTAAGTGAAATTAACAATAGTTCACACAAAGAAGTCTGACATGTTTGCAATTTAAAGGTGTATAGCGTGGTTAAGTATTTTATATTCGTTTTAAGGACAGACACCTTTGTGACCTTTTATGCTACTTGAAGCATAGCAAAAAAAGCAGGTGTTGTGATGAGCGCCGGCGATATAGAAAACTGCACAAGAGTACAATCGACAGATCCTGTTAAAGGTCGACCCCACAATATTATTATAAAATGTCCTCCCGTATTCATTAGGTATTCATAATCTCATTGCTGGCGTGAAAAAACATAGTGGCATCACTACTGGAGATCTTGGGCACGGAGGTGAACTCAAGAAAATATTTGTTAACGAGCATTTAACTCTAGATAACAAGAGGTTACACAAAAGTGTCGAGAAATAGCTACTAAGCTAGGCTATAGGTACATCTGGATAAGAAACTGCACAATATATGTTCGTCGAAACGATACGTCACCACACAATATTGTCAATTCAGAATTGTAATTAAAAAAGTTGAAATAAAGTATACAATAATAGTTAATATAGACTTACATAGCAATTTTTTTATAATGTAAGGAAACATTGTGAAAACATGTTATATTATTGTCATATGTGTTATTTTACTCTAAAATATTGTATAAAAAATACACACACACACACATTAAACACTAACACACAACACAACATAAACACGATTATACAATTTACAAATTGCAACCATAATCAATTTTAAATAGCAGTAGATTTACATTATACATCAAAAAATTACCTTGTATTCTTTCTATCTATTAATATACATAATATATACGCATCCACAAATCATTCCCTAGTTTTTTGCATACAGTCGGTTTATTTAAACTCACAAGTACAAAAACTGTACCTATTAATTATCAATTGCTCAAGCAAATAATATGGTTTTCTATTTAATTAAACTATTTATCTGTTATAATCATTACCAGCTAATACAAATTATATTAGTATGTATTAGGTTTGGGTACATGTTTATATTTAAGTATGTATATGCATGTGTGTATACACATTGTGTACATTTATATATATGCATTCGTGAGTTAACTGTGTTTAAAATCTATTATTTATTTTATTTATTATTTGTTAAAAAATAACAAGGCAAAATGATAATTTACACAATAGGTAAGACACCAATATCTGTCTATTATCAAAATGCACGGGGATTATGTACAAAACTTCATACGCTTTATCTAGAAATATTAAATAATGATTATGACATCATTATTTTAACAGAAATCTGGTTTCACGATGGTGTCTTGGATGGGGAGATCTGTGATAATCGGTATATTTTGTAGAGACAGGATCGTATACTAACGTAAACAAGCAAATCATCAGGTGGAGGTGTGGCAATCATAATTCGTCGTACACTTAATGCGACTATGGACGAAATGTGGTAACAGACGAGCGCTTACCTTAGTACCGGTACTGAGTCATACGTTCACAACACGAAGCGCACACGTTCCCTCGCGCCATGCCCCTCACACCCCGTTTGAACAAAAAATGAATATCATAACTACTTATATACCGGGTAAATCATCAAAGCATCGTCGTACGGACGAAATTCACGCAAAAGATATTAAATCGTTCTTGGAATCGTTTTGTAGTAGAATTATCTCGCGCGACTTTTATGTAATAGCGGGTGATTTTAATTTATCTAATATACACTGGAATGAGAGTGGACCTACAATACCAAGACAGGGTTCTACCGAGCTACAAACTATAGGGGAGCAATTAATAAACGAACTAGTCTACCGTGGTTTCCGACAATACTCCAATATGAAAAACAGTTGCAATAACACATTAGATTTAATTTTCTCTAATATAGACATAGAAATAGTATTATGTGACAAACCCTTAACTACGATAGATACATTTCATCCTCCCTTCAAATTTGACATAAATGTCAAATCTCTCCTCTCAAATGCTCTTTTATTAAGAAAAGTAAGTGTATTATGTGAAATTGACTGGGCTACTCATTTATCCACTGGACATGTTGAAGAAGCTGTAGGTTTCTTTTACAAACAACTCAGTTATTGCATATACAATTATGTACCAAGTGTAATATCTATACCTCACAACACGAAAAGGCCCCCGTGGTATAATAAAACATTGATTAATATCTTAAAAGAAAAAGCTAAAGCTCACAGAAATTGGAAAAAGTTTCATAACTTAGCGGATTACAACATGTTCTCTTTATTACGTAAGCATGCGTCAGTTTATAATACACAGTGTTATTATAATTATTTGGATACTACTCAACAAGCCATACTGAATAACCTTAAATGTTTCTGGTCTTTTATAAAATCAAAACGTGGTAATACTTATTCTTATCCAAATAAAATGTCGTATAAAAATACAAGTCTTTAATTCATTTTTCAAAAGTGTTTTTATCCCGCCTGCTCCTTCATATCCTGATGTTGTATTACCTATACCTTCTAGTAGCAACGACCGACATTTATATTTCTTTAGGGTTTCCAAGACAGATGTTTTTAAAGCGCTACAGCAAGTAGATGTAAAAAAGGGACCGGGTAGTGGCAAAATCCCACCTATATTTATATTTAAATGTGCTAAGTCATTGTCTGAGCCTCTTCACATTTTATTCAATAGATCTCTTCAGGAAGGTTATTTCCCATACATCTGGAAAGAAATTCATGTAGTACCCATATTTAAAAAGAGAACCCGTATTAAAGTTGAAAATTGTAGACCTATATCTATACTTAATATATTCGCGAAAATATTCGAAAAATTAGTTCTTAATTATATTTATCCGACCATAAGTCGAGGTCTACCAGAATCTCAGCATGATTTCCTCAAAAGCAGATCAACTATTAGTAACCTAACACATTTTATCACAGAGACTATCAATCATCTGGATGGCGGGGGGCAGGTTGACGTGATCTACACGGATTTCGAAAAAACCTTCGACCGCGTGGATCACGCCATCTTGCTTCGTAAGTTAAAATACTAGGGATATACGGGGACCTTCTGAGATGGATTGAGTCTTACCTAAAAATCGTTCACAAGCAGTAGTTGTAGGAGGACATAGATCAAATTTTATAAAAATTACATCTGGTGTGCCACAAGAGTCTCACTTAGGGCCCCTTCTGTATAACACTTATCTATATGATATATATACATGCTTTAAACATTCTTCATTCTTGCTGTATGCAGATGTCAAAAAATATTTATTAAAATTAACAATTCAAATGATTGCTATAACATTCAAGAAGATTTAAATAGGTTGGACCATTATTACAAATATAATCGAATCACAGTTAATGTCAAGAAATGTCAGACTTGCACATTTACACGCAAAACTAAACCGGTTGAATATACATACAGATTGAACGGGTCAATAATTCAAAAAGCAGAGGTAGTCCGAGATCTTGGTATCTTATTGGATTCCAAGCTTACATTTAGTAATCATATTGACTACATCACAAATAAAGCATATAGAAACTTAGGCTTCTTAATACGTACATGCCAACCTTTCAATAACTTACCCTGTATTAAAGTATTATATTATGCCTACGTTCGCAGTATATTAGAGTATGGTAGCAACATATGGTGTCCACAATACTATACGTATATTAACAAAATACAAGTATTACAAAAAAAAGTTTATGGACTACAGAATTAAATAACAACATCAAACATACACAAAGAAAGATGTATATTCTATAAACTCCTTTCATTAGCAGACAGAAGAAAATTGCTTGTTCAAATGACATTATATGATCTCATTCACGGCCGCCTAGATAATTCGCATTTACTTGGACTTATCAACTTCTCCACACCCATATATCGTACTAGACACACTAAATTATTTTTCATATCTCACTCTCATACGAAATATACCAAAAACTCACCAATAAATCGGATGTGTTGCACCTATAATAATTTTTGACAATATTGATATTTTTAGGAAAAAGAGAGAAAACTATAAAACTGAAGTATGCAAAAAACTCTTCAATATTTATTTATGATTAAGGTATTAACTCAGATCAAATATACGAGCACAGACACATACATTATGTTGTTGTATATACAATGTTTATTGGAGTACCGCTGATTATTCATTGCTTATTATCTTTATACCGATAAGGAATCGTCGCTCATTCTTTTAAATTATGTATAGATAATATAGGGAAACCTGTAATAAGGCTTACGTTAAGATAATCCAATCTGTTGTAAATTTTATTTAGTTTAAAGCTCTTGGTTTTCTAAATAAATAAAATAAAAATAAAATGTTCACTTAAACTCGGAACTTTACACAATTATGCAAAACAACATTCTGTGTTCGTCTTTTTCAAAATTGTTTTTAAACGTATTCATTTACTGCAATTAAAACAAGATGGAAAGAAAGTAAATTTGATGCATGACATTTCAGCGATATTAAAAAAAAGTTCAGTAAGTACTTTAAAGT